CTCTTAGTGAAACTTTTCAATTTTCACTTGTTCTTAGAGCTAAAAACTAACAGCTTTAGGATCTATCTGCTGAGATCCAACATATTATTGTAAACCCTAACAAATAAGAAGAAATCATCTTTATAGTGCTTGATTATTGTAAAGTGAAGTGTGAATTATTGCTATAGGTTGCCTAACTTATTACTGCATGCCTTTTTAATGTTTGATCCTCTGCTGAGAGTGGCAACAAACAAAAGTGTTCAGGCAGTATCAGGTGAAGGCATACGGTGATATGGATTCCTATCACCAACCTGGTCTCACTCTGGAACCTGGGTAGGCCACCTTTATTGTCTAGTTTTAGAAAACTTCATTAAAATCTCTCTACGCAAAAGTTTCCTTCAAATAGGAAAATCCAGTCTGAAGTTGAACACAAAATATTTCACAGCTGGGTTTGGAATAGTTGGATTCCATTGGAGTTGGATTCCATTGCTGGACAAGCAGAAGTCTGAACTAACCTACTCAGCCTGTATGAATGTTTTATGGATTTTATTGCTAGGAGATGTTGTTGTGTGTTTTGAGATATATATATATATATACAGTGAGGAACAGAAGCATTTGAACACCCTGCGATTTTGCAAGTTCTCCCACTTAGAAATCATGGAGGGGTCTGAAATTCACATTGTAGGTGCATTCCCACTCTGAGAGACAGAATTTAAAAAAAAAACTTGCAAAATCGCAGGGTGTTCAAATACTTCTGTTCCTCACTGTATATATATATATATATATATATATATATATATATATATCTCAAAACACACAACAACATCTCCTAGCAATAAAATCCATAAAACATTCATACAGGCTGAGTAGGTTAGCTCAGACTTCTGCTTGTCCAGCAATGGAATCCAACTCCAATGGAATCCAACTATTCCAAACCCAGCTGTGAAATATTTTGTGTTCAACTTCAGACTGGATTTTCCTATTTGAAGAGAGATTGCGTAGAGAGATTTTAATGAAGTTTTTCTAAAACTAGACACTAAAGGTGGCCTACCCAGGTTCCAGAGTGAGACCAGGTGTATATGTGTATATATGTATGTATGTGTGCTACAGTAGTAAGAATTCTGTAATATAAATGTGCTACAGTAGTAGAGAATTCTGTAGTTATTGTGTACAAAAGCCTGACTAATTCGGAATGATAGGTCAGCAATCAGCGTATTTCTAATGTGCTACAGCAGACGGCAATAATGCAATTATTGTGGATACAGGCATGCCAGACTAGCTGTACTAAAAATATTGCCTAGCATAGCACAGTTCATTGCACCTACTTCTCCTTTGTAACTTTAGGGCATTGACTTCTTAAAATATCATTGCCTTTTGCAACATTTTGTGCAGAATTAGACCTCATGCACACAGGGCATTTTTTTCCTCCCCTGGATGCCTTTGTTAAGAGGAAGAAAAAAATCAGCGTTGAAATCACACCTAAAGCCTCGTGTTGCAAATGTATTTGGGTAGGTTTGATGCTTGGGTGTTCACTCATTCCATTGGCCATAATATTAATTTATTCTGGCCATTGGAATGAATGAATGATAAACATGCTAAACGCACTTAAAGCAAAGTTCCACTCACTTTGTAAAAAAATAAGTCAGCAGCTACACAAACAGCCACTCACCTGTCCCATGATCCCATGTTGCGCCCGCCGCAGCCAGCCATCCTGTATTCCAGGCACCAGCATCTTTAGTGTGGGCACCCGGCTGTGACAGCTTGCGGCTTCACAGCCGGGTGCCCACTGCGCATGCGCGAGTAGCGCTGCGATTCCTGAATGGCCCCGTCATCTTATGGGACCTATCACGTGTCCCACAAGACTTCGGGGAGGGACAGGGAGGGTAGGAGGACAACTTCCATTTCCGATCACCTAGGTCAGTGGTGGGCAACCTTTTTTTTCAACTGAGCCAAATCTCGCCAAAACCACGATTGAAATTTATTTTGAGAGCCACATTTTTAAAACTGAAAATACATCCCCCATATAGTAATTCATCCCCCATAGTAATTCATCCCCCATATAGTAATTCATCCCCCATATAGTAATTCATCCCCCATATAGTAATTTATCCCCCATAGTAATTCATCCCCCATATAGTAATTCATCCCCCATATAGTAATTCATCCCCCATAGTAATTCATCCCCCATAGTAATTCATCCCCCATAGTAATTCATCCCCCCTATAGTAATTCATCCCCCCTATAGTAATTCATCCCCCATAGTAATTCATCCCCCATATAGTAATTCATCCCCCATATAGTAATTCATCCCCCATATTAAGTCCCCAAGTCCCCCCTGTGTCAATTCACTTACCTTTGCTCCGCGCGTTCCTCTCGCCGTGTTCTCGCGCCGTTCTGGTCTTCAGGGCGGACTGTGAGAGGAGAGGAGTTTGTCACGCTGCCCCGCCTACATCCTGGCTGCCCCGCCTACATCCTGACAGCTGCAGAGTCCTGACTTTTGGGGCGGCCGCCCGAGAGGAGGGAGGGGGGCGGCCGCCCGAGAGGAGGGAGGGGGGCGGCCGCCCGAGAGGAGGGAGGGGAGCGGCCGCCCGAGAGGAGGGAGGGGGGCGGGCGCCCGGCACACAGAAGAGCCGCATTTAAGTTTGTAAAGAGCCACATGTGGCTCGCGAGCCGCGGCTTGCCGACCACTGACCTAGGTGATCGCAGCGGAAGTGGGAGCAGGTAACTGTCAAATTCGGGTACCCGTCCCCCCCCCTCCCCAAAGGTGCCAATCCTTAGTGTGAGCAGGGGACCAATCTTTAAAGCGGAACTTCCCCTTTTGGGTGGAACTCTGCTTTAAGCACTAGGCTAAACACGCCTAGTGTTTAAGTGCGTTTAGATGCAAACTTGATGAATCTGTGTTGTCTGATCTGTTAAGGAATGAGGAAAGAATAATAAAAAAAAAAATTTTGTACAATTTCTCCAAATTTGGTTATGAAGGTAAACACATATTGCTAAGCCTGGTGCCTTCAGTGAAATGTAGATGGTCACAAATAAAGACTCTACAGCTTATTTTTTTTAAACATAAATACAGTTAAAAATGAAAATAGCCACATTTGGATCTACAGTCCTTAAACATTTGCCTACAGGGCACTTTCACCACCTTCCTGCCCAGGCCAATTTTCAGCTTTCAGCGCTGGTGCACTTTGAATTACAATTGCACGGTCATGCAACACTGTACTCATATGAAATTTTAATGATTTTTTTTTCACACAAATAGAGCTTCCTAATAGATAATACAGTGGAGGTCGGTCCGTTTGTAACATGTTACACCCTAAATATACATGTAACATGTTACGAAAGGTAAACTTATCCTTTCACCAATTGCCTACTGGGCACTTTTACCCCCCTCCTGCCCAGACCAAATTCAACTTTCCATGCTCTCATACTTTGAATAACAATTGCGTGGTCATGCAACAACCGAAACAAAATTTTTATAAATTTTTATAATTTTTTTGAGACAAATGGAGCTTTCTTTTGGTGGCATTTAATCACTGCTGGGGTTTTTATTTTTTGCTAAACAAACGGAAAAAGATATAAAATTTTAGGGGAAAAAAAAAAACGTTTTTTCTTAGTTTCTATTATAAAATTTTGCAAACAAGTAAATTTTCTCCTTCACTGATGTGCGCTGATGAGGCAGCACTGATAGGCTGCACTGATAGGCAACATTGAAGGGCACTAATAGGCGGAACTGCTGGGCAATGACTGGCAGCACTGCTGGACACTGATTGGCACTGTTGGGCCTGCACTGACAATCAGGGCACTGATAACCAGTGCTCTGATTATCAGTGCAGATGTCTCCTTTCACACTTGCTGGCTACTGGCAGTATATATCTAGTAATTATGCTTAGGCCATATACTGTATTTACAGTACATGTTTTCCTAGAAAAGTGGTGGTGGTGGTGGGGGGGGGGGGGGGCACAGGGGCAATAAGCACAAGCCAAATGGAAGGCATGGCCTTAAAGTTGTGTGCATAGTTTGGGCACCATGAACTGCATACACAGCTATACAATCAGTATAAAACTCTCATGGTAAAGAGTCTTGGGGTCAAAGCTTGATGTTACACCCAGCAGATATAGCGCACTTAGCAATACTTGTTTGCCAACTGCCCTCTTTTTTGAAGCCCATGAACAACTTGCAAGGGTTAGTTTATTATTTGTAATCAAATGTCACGGCAAAATAGAAAAAGAATGCAGGATAAAACATTTCCCTGTGTGTTATCCATATTAAAGGCCCTGCCTAGTGTCTTTTGCTAAGCTGCTCAACTACCCCCACTCTCAGATCTCTCCAACATAAAGATTACTCATTCTATGGCCCAAGAGAAAGGTTTAACATATTATTTTTCCTTTATAGAAAGTTCTTGTATTTTTTTTTTTTACATAGTGCAATACTTTTTGTGAATGGGGAAGGGGTGAATGAATGACTGGATCCCTTTCCCCACTCACAGAACAATCTGCATTATGTGAAAACCATGCAATGAGGGTTATTTACTACAACTGGAAAGAGCAAAATCTAGTGCAACTATACACAGAAATCAGCTTCCAGGTTTTATTGCCAAAGTTTAATTTAACAAGCTGAACCTAGAAGCTGATTGGCAATCATACAAAGATGCACCAGATTCTGAGTGCACCAGTTTTAGTAAATCTCCCTCAATGACTTTTGTTAATGAAGAAAAAGACAGAAAGAGACAGGTAGCCAAAAGGACTTCTTCAATGTACTAAAATATTATGGTCAAGGAACCCTGACCTGTCATCACTGCCTAGATTTCAACACTAAGAAGCAATTAGCAGGTTGTGGGATATGCTTCATTAAAGGTAAGTAAAAAAAAATTAAAGTTAACATTTGAAGTAAGGGTGTAAAAATAACTGTAACCAAAATAATGTTGGAAGATTGTATGGTCAATATACAGTATTTGTCGGTATATTTCGTGGTAAGTGCTTAATGTTTTCAGTTTGCAATCATTGTTTTCTTTTTTCTTTCAGAATAAAACATATATTGAGACCTCCAACTCAACTGCAGCAGTCATTCCAATTAAAGCTACAAATGCTACTTGTACCATATACGTAGCTTGCTACACAGTGGGGAGGCATTGGGCCATATAGTGAAGCAGTGCAGCTTGTTATTCCAGGTGATGGTGAGAACCTTTTACTGATACTAAACAACTATTTCTCTATAGCAGTGATTCTTAAACTATGGGTCAGAACCAACATTTGGTAATGGATGTGTTTGGGATAGATCACAACTTGACTTTGGGACCAACTGCAAGTTAACAGATCAAGGGATGACTTAGTGACAGTGATTATGTCTGACATCATAGACACACTTGGGGAAGAATGCAGATAGTGGGGAAGGACGGAAGTGGTAGGGGGCGCGGAGGAGGATAACAAGAACATTGAAACATGATTATTAGATGAAAAGCTCCGGAAATAGTTTGCAAGGTCCACAAAACACCCACAGCATGAAAACAAATCAAATTAATTCCTTGAAGAGGAACTGAACTCTGGAAGTTGTATCGAAAGAATAGCAGGCAGAAGGTAAAGGAATAGTCATAAACATTGCCTGGAAAAGGCACCCACCCCTTCTTTCTACATTACTGAATTATCATGCCTTGTTCCCTGTGTTGAGGTGGCCATCTTGGCAAAGGCAAGGAAGAAAGCAGGGCTTTGATTTCTTATGCCTCCAGCATGGAGAGCAGTGAGCAATACAGCATTGACATCACCAGATCTCACTTCAAACCTACTGACACTAGGAGCGGGGCCTTAGATCTCACCCTACACAAGAGTGCCTAGGCACGGTCCTAATCAGGGAATTGCACTGTTCTTTTTCAGACTAGATTTTTCAGGGTATTGCTTTGGCACATTTTTTAATTTTCACTACTGCATAGCAAACTTTCACTTCTTGAGTTTAGTTCCAATTAAAAAGTAAGGCAGCAAGCTTAACAAAATATTGTTTAATTTGTAGAAGGGTAGGTTGTCTAAGGCAGAATTATCTTGGAGGACAGCAACTGTGGATAGCTGGGATCAAAACACCAGTTTAGGCAGCATGCTGCATTCATTGGTGCATCTGCTTTTTTTTTTTTTTAATATAAAAATTCTGTTCTTAAAGTGATTCTAAAGGTTCATTTTTTTTTTTTTTTTTTTTTAAATAGCAAACATGCTATTCTCACCTACTTTGTGCAGTGGTTTTGCACAGAGCAGCCTGGATCCTTCTCTTCCTGGCCCCTCCCTCCTGCTGAGTGCCCCTACAGCAAGCAGCTTGTTATTGGGGCACCCGTTGCTCCGTGTGTCCATTCACACATGGAGCCACGGCTTGCCCCTTCCCCTCTCTCCTCATTGGCTGACTGGCTGTGACCAAAAAACAAAAGGTATACCGCTCAGGCAAACAATCCAGATCAATCCACGACAGGTGCAGGCTCTGGCTCGCCACTACACACGATGCAACAGGAAGAAGGGTCAGCCGCACACAAGAGGATAGATGAATATAGTGTGTATTTATTGATCCATAGGACACACAAAACACCAGGACATGAATACAGGACTTGTTAACACGTTTCACACGATCTCGTGCTTAATCATAACATAAAAAACAACAAAAGTGCTGTCTTATATACAGTTGTGTTCAAAATAATAGCAGTGTGTTGAAAAAAGTGAATAAAGCTCAAAATCCTTCTAATAGCTTTTATATCCATACACACAAATGCATTGGGAAACACTACACATTCTATGCCAAATCAAATCATGAAGAAAAATATATCAAATTTGTGTTGTTCCTCTAAACAAATTGAAGAAAAGTGAATATTAGACTGTTCAAAAAAATAGCAGTGTTTGTATTCTTCTTTACAAACTCAACATTCACTATATAAATTGAAAAATGTTTGAAGGTTTTGCTTTCCTTTGAACCACTTAATTAATATTTAGTTGTATAAGCACTGTTTCTGAGAACTGCTGTACATCTGTGTTGCATGGAGTCAACCAACTTCTGGCACCTGTGAACAGGTATTCCAGCCCAGGATGATTGGACTACATTCCACAGTTCTTCTCTATTTCTTGGTTTTGCCTCAGAAACTGCATTTTTGATGTCACCCCACAAGTTTTCTACTGGATTAAGATCCGGGGATTGGGCTGGCCACTCCATAACGTCAATCTTGTTGGTCTGGAACCAAGATGTTGCACATTTACTGGTGTGTTTGGGATCGTTGTCTTGTTGGAACACCCATTTCAAGGGCATTTCCTCTTCAGCATAAGGCAGCATGACCTCTTCAAGTATTCTGATGTATTCAAACTGATCCATGATCCCTGGTATGCGATAAATAGGCCCAACACCGTAGTATGAGAAACATCCCCATATCATGATGCTTGCGCAGCCATGCTTCACTGTCTTCACAGTGTACTGTGGCTTGAATTCAGTGTTTGGGGGTCGTCTGATAAACTGTCTCCAGCCACTAGACCCAAAAAGAACAATCTTACTTTCATCAGTCCACAAAATGTTGCGCCATTTCTCTTTAGGCCAGTCAATGTGCTCTTTGGTCAAATTGTAACCTCTTCAGCACGTCTTTTTTTCAACAGTGGGACTTTGCGGGGGCTTCTTGCAGATAGCTTGGCTTCACATAGGCATCTTCTAATTGTAACAGTACTCACAGGTAACTTTAGACCTTCTTTGATCTTCCTGGAGCTGATTGTTGGCTGAGTCCTTGCCATTTTGGCTATTCTTCTATCCATTTGAATGGTAGTTTTTCGCTTTCTTCCACGTCTTTCAGGTTTTGGTTGCCATTTTAAAGAATTTGCGATCATTTTAGCTGAGCAGCCTATCATTTTCTGCACTTCTTTATATGTTTTCCCCTCTCCAATCAACTTTTTAATCAAGGTACGCTGTTCTTCTGAACAATGTCTGGAACGACCCATTTTCCTCAGAATTTCAGAGAGAAATGCACTGTAACCAGCATGTACAACATTTGCTGCCTTCCTTCCTTAGATAAGGGCAATATTTGACACCTGTTTTTCAAAGAATGAATGACCTCACTAATAGAACTCCACACTGCTATTATTTTGAACATGCCCCTTTCAATTAGTGATTCAATTGCACAGAATCAGCAGCATGCATGTCATGACTGTTGGGTCTGTTGGATTTCTATTACTCTACTACACCTGCTAGTAAATTATTTAGCATGTAGAAATATCATTTCTACCAAAACCCGTGATTGATCAGGTAAGTGATGTCTGACTACTATTATTTTGAACACAACTGTAGGTATTAGTTAATAAAGAACACCTGTCCTAATCAGCACTCCTGACTGGCTGTGAGCAATGGCTCCCGCTTGCTGTCTCAGCCAGTGAGGAGGCAGAGACCCGGGACAACCAAGGTCTTCACATTGCTGGATTGCAATGAGGTTCAGGTAAGTATTGAGGGGGCTGGGGGCACTGCTGCACACAGAAGGCTTTTTACCTTCATGCATAGAATGCATGAATGTAAAAAACCGTGAGCCTTTACAACCACATTAAGTTCCACAATGAGTCTCAGTATTGTAACAATTTTCTTATCTGCTTGATAGATTTTCAAGACATACCCAAAAAGACTAAGGTCCAGTTCACTCTGGAACGCACATGTTCATGTACGATCCCTCGCATTCCGGTTTTGACAGCCCATTCATTTGGATAGGCTGTCAAATGTACAGAATAGTGCAAAAAATAGTGCAAGGACTACTTTTTCAAATCACGCTGTACCAAACTGCATGGTACTGCGGTACCATGCAATATGGTGCCCAGAAAAATGTAGAGATGCATTTGGGTTGCAATTAACAATTAAACAATAATTTAACAATTAAAAGTTAAAAATTACAGTTAATTGCATCTCACAAGGGTAGCGCGTTCACATGCGGTACAGTAAACACGCATGGAAGGCTCCTTTCCCACACTACGTTCCAGTGTGAACTGGTCCTTAACGGCCGGAAAATTAAACTAATACACTAAGAAGCTGTATTGATGTGTAACAAATTTGATGTGCTGTTCTGCTGTGTAGCATCAGGAAAATAGTTAATGTTGTTGTTTAGTATTTAATATCAATTTTAGCAAAATTACAGTTTACATAAACATTTTAATATGATTTATTAATACATAAGAATATGCATGGAGTAATTCTCATTCACAGCATATTTGTGAAACACCAGATTACTTAATAGGAAGTATTATGTATTTCTAAATATATTATTAAATACTTGGTTCATCTTGTTCCAGGTACGATAGCATCTGCGACTTCTTCAACTCCGGGAACAGGAAATGCTAGCCCCTACTTGATATTGCTGGGCTTTATCTGCAGCTTAATGATACTTCTGCTAATTATTTATGGTTTAGTAATACTCATTAGAAGGAAAAAGGAAACAGAGTTTGGGTAAGATTGAGGAATATTTAGTACCTTTATGTTTCTGTTGGGGAGATTTACTAAAATTGGTGCACACAGAATCTACGGCAGCTGTGTATAGTAACCAATCAGTTTATAACTTCAGCTTGTTCAATTAGGTTTGAACAATAAAACCTACAATCTGATTGTTTTTTATGCACAGTTGCAGCAGATTCTGTGTGCACCAGTTTTATTCAATCTCCCCCAGTGTTTTCTTTTTTTAATTCTGGGCTAGCAGGCCTTTTTTTTTGTGCCTTCCTATAACCACAAATCTTCATGGCTGCACAGTTAATGAAAACCAGTATAACATACATAATGCAGTTGTATAACCGTATTGATTGTTTTTTTTTGTTGTTGTTCATCTTCAATACAAGCATATTTCCATTTGCTTTAGCTCCTAAAATACCTGTTGATCTGATAAAGAATACCCCCCCATTCCCATCTCCATAACATAAGGGGGAGACTTCTGTAGTTCAGAAAGGGATAACTAGGCAGGGCTGACAATTCTATTTAATACTTCCGTACAGCAGATTGCACAGGAAGTTAGGTGCTTAATGAATTTCTGGCAGATCTACAAGTATTTATCTGGATTTGCAGGAAACAGGGAAATGTATTTTTGTTCATACATACACTTAGATGACAATCATTCTCAATATCATGTCTGAGCCAGATGGCCACTAGCTAACCACTCTCAAGACCTGTCCTAAATATTTTTTTTACCTGTTAGATTTTTGGAGGTGGTAGCATCTGCATGTGCTGCTTTTTGCCTTCCTATTTCCCTATATTAATATATAGGGAAATGGGGAGGCAAAGAGCAGCACATGCAGATGCTACCACCACCAATAAACATTCAGCCAATCTGAGCATTTATATTTTATATACTCAATTTGAGTACCAAGTGCTGAAGGACAGTTGGATTATTCTCTTATGTCTATTGAAGCCAAAACTGGCCATACATATAGAGTTTTTGGTCATTCAGCCCAGCAGATGAATTAATCTCCTGCTACTATCTATTGTATTCTGACAGCTGGCACCCAAAGCTGACAATACCTGAACACTGACTGTAGCAGATTGGCTACAAGTACTGTTCAGTCAACTTTTTTTCTGCCTGGATCCTTTGATTTCTCAGTCAAAGCTTGTTGAGCTGGGTGATGTTGGCAGGGCCTTCACAGCTTGAATTTCATCTGATTCACAAGGTTTGGCAGAGATGCACACCATGTATTGCCAGCTTAAGGAACTGCTAATGGAAGGGTAAATCTGGACAAACAATGATTTCCATTATGATAAATGCAGCCAAGATGTTAATTCATGTAATTAATGTTGGAAGAACACACAGACTAAGCTGGTTAGAAGTAGAATCCTTAAAAGAGAAAATCAAATAGAAGAAATGTATTGTACAAGGAAAATTGAAACACATGAATTAATGTGGTACAATTGGTTTTAAAGGGTTTCTCCCAAAGGGATAAACAAAATTTGCTGATTATTTACCAAGAAATTCTTATATGCTTGATAAAGACCAACTGATTGTTTTGAGAACATCGGTTGAATCACTCGCTAGGCTTTTACTCTTCTCAAATTCTTTTAGTTAAGTTTTTTCCTCCTGTTAATTTGAGTGTCTGCCCTACCACAAGACAAGAATTAAAGTGTCACTTTCATCGACTGTACCAATCAATTTAGTGTTTATTCCACAATATCCATATTAGTGTTTATTCCACATATCCATAATGATAGATTAATGGGATTTTGGTGGAGATACTGTATCTTAACAATGAAATCCTCCGAAAGACAGCAAAGCTGAACTATAACTTTTGAGTGGAGCTGACCTTTAAAGCATAACTGTACTCTTAAAACACTTGAACTCTTTTACTACAATCACGGATATCAAGCAACTGTAAAAAAATATAGGGTCTTGCCTTTTTTTGCTGAGCTTTAAGAGCTGAGATCACAGGCCCATGCCAATATACTCATTAGCAGGGGCGGACTGACAACTCATGGAGCCCCTGGGCAATAGGGGATCATGGGGCCCCTGTGTCCTTGCCCAAACTAAAAAAAACCTATGAAAAAGGTACCAGGGGCATCTCATGTGGTCCCCTACTGACCCCGGGCCCTCAATAGGGGATCATGGGGCCCCTGTGTCCTTGCCCAAACTCAAAAAAGCCTATGAAAAAGGTACCAGGGGCATCTCATGGGGCCCCCTACTTACCCCGGGCCCTCGGGCAGTGCCCGAGTTTCCAAATGATCAGTCCGCCCCTGCTCAGTACAAAGAGCACATGGCTCAGGATCAAAAATGGGAGGCATTAAGGATCTTTCAAGGTACTGCAGTCAGATTCCCACAGCTGGCTTTTTGAATTTACAAACAATGTGGATGGACAGGGGTTGACTAAAATGTGCAAGTTGAGCAGATTCCTTTCTCGGTTCTTGTCTGCAGTTACAATGTAGGCCTAGACAAACCAAATTAAAATTGAGCAATATTTACACTGGCCTGGTTGTGTGCTCAAGTTTAAAGCACTCAAAGTTTAAAGAATGAAAAGGCAGATGTAAGAGGCCATATTTTCAAAGCTGGTTAGAATGCCCAGATTTAATTAAAAGAGATGTTGTACCATTATACCATGTTTTATTGTTATTTTGTCTGTCTCATTTCATAGTTTTTTTTAAGGATTCAATTAAATAATTGTGAAAAAATACACATTCTATTTAATATTTGACATTATGGGCAATACTCTAAGCAGAGTATAACTATAACTTCTGTTGATGTAGATTTACACATTTCCCATAAACCAGCTGCTCCCAGTAACTGAAAGTGAATTGTTAGGTTTCCCATTTTCTGAATGATACACTTGCTATTTTGAGCATGTTTTGTAACAATGGGTAGAAATACATAATAATAATGTTCACCAGAATTATACAAACTGCCACCTGGTGAACAAGAAGGTCATTTCTGAATATATATGACTCAAGACAAACTGAAAACAATAGCTTATGCTTTCCCTGTATTATTTTTATGATTCATTCCCTGATACAGCACTAATATCAGAGCAGGACCTTGAGTTCAAACAGAACATACATGAAATACCAGGGAAATGAAGCACGTACAAAGAATGTTATGATTCCATCATGCCCAGTGAGCACATGATCTGAGAAGGTGGAACATCATGGAGTTAAAATGTCACATCCTGTTGGCTGGGTGTCTCCCGCATTAGAAAAAATACTGTTGAGTGATATTGTGGATAGGGATACTACTATATGGAAGGAGAATCTGTAGATTTGGCTTTTTCTTTTCATGTATGTCAGCACAGTCTAGTTGGGCTAGATGAAGGAATAATGGGTAACTAAAAAACACAGGGCACTGAACAAAATTTTAAAATAGGACCACTTGATTTTTTTATATGAAAAATTTACTTTTCTATAGAACACTTGATGTACTACTGTTTAATAAAATGTTAGCAAGGATCCTGGTAAATTAAGAGCAAAAAATAATAATATGCAAAAGGACATAATTTACAATTTTGTTTTTACTTTTTTACATTTTAATTTCTCCATTTTATGGCCACATCTAGACAATTGTGCCTACATCCAACCAGAGATTTGAAAGAAATAAAAGCCACTGAGTGGGGTCGCAAGATTTTTTTTTTGTAGCACAAGTAACATGGTAGAATATATGACTGTTAGATTCCATAAACTATCTGTGCATATAAAACATACAGAATCCTATTTATAGGATACTTGACTTTAAATCTGCAGTATGTTATTAACAATTGCCGCCCACCCTATGGCCGAATGGCGGGCGGCAAATGTCATCAGCGTTCCGGGTGGACGCCACATGGCGTCCTCCCGCACATGCGCAGATTGCGCTCCTGCAGAGCGGCGCAGCGGCGATGAGAGATCTGAGTATCGGCCCCGTTGCCGATACCATGTGACCTGCTGTGACCAATCACAGCAGGTCACATGACAGTTGTATACAATGGATGGCTTCATTCATGCCATCCATTGTATACTAGTGTCTAGCTGTGAATGGTCACAGCTAATCACATGCACGTCATGTGATTAGCTGTGGCCAAATCACAGCTAAGCACAAAAAAAAAAAAAAAAAAAAAAAAAAAAAACCCTGAATGAATCATTACATTACATTACATTACATTGAGTTTATATAGCGCCAAAGGGTTTGCTCAGCGCTGTACAATAGAGGGGGGGACAATACATGAAACATTACAGCAGCTACGAACAGCACACGAGGGGTAAGAGGGCCCTACTCTTTCGAGCGTACAATCTGGGAGGGAGGGGGTAGTGGTACAGGAGGAAGTGGCTGTGGGGGATGGAGTGGTAGGAGGAATGAAGGAGAGCAGCAGTTAGGTGAGGTGGGGTAGGCTTCCCTGAAGAGGTGGGTTTTCAGGGAGCGCCTGAAGGTGAGGAGGGAAGGTGACAGTCTGATGGATTGGGGTAGTGAGTTCCAGAGGATGGGGGAGGACCTGGAGAAGTCTTGCAGACGTGCGTGTGAGGAGGAGACCAGGGAGCAAGATAGAAGGAGGTCCTGTGAAGAGCGAAGGGTACGGGTAGGGTGGTACTTGGGAATCAGGTCGGTGAGGTAGTTAGGGGCAGTGTTGTGAATGGCTTTGTAGGTCAGAGTGAGTAGTTTGAATTTGATGCGTTGGGCGATAGGGAGCCAGTGGAGGGAGAGGCAGAGGGGGGTGGCAGAGGTGGAGCGGCTGGTGAGGTGGATGAGTCTGGCAGCTGAGTTCAGGATGGTCTGAAGCGGGGAGAGTTTGCACTGGGGTAGGCCGGTGAGGAGGGAGTTGCAGTAGTCAAGGCGTGAGATAATCAGGGAGTGCACAAGTAGTTTAGCGGTGTCTGGGGTAAGGAAGGTGCGTATTTTGGCGATATTGCGGAGGTGGAGCCTGCATGTGTTTGTCAGTGATTTGACATGAGGTTGGAAGGAGAGGTTAGAGTCCAGAATGACCCCAAGGACTTTGGCTTGCGGGGCGGGATTGATGGTGGTGATGTTAGTAGTGATGGATAGGATGGGGGGGGGGCGCAGGCAGGAGGGAAGACGAGAAGCTCGGTTTTGGAGAGGTTGAGTTTGAGGAAATGGAGCGACATCCAGTCAGAGATGTCGTTTAGGAGGTGAGTGATGCGGGCGGAGAAAGTGGAGGTGAGGTGAGGGGTGGAGAGGTAAATTTGAGTGTCATCAGCATAGAGATGGTAGTTGAAGCCGTGGGAGTGTATGAGTTTGCCAAGGGAGGAGGTGTAGATGGAGAAGAGAAGGGGTCCAAGGACAGAGCCCTGGGGGACCCCAACAGAGAGGGGGAGGGAAGGGGAGGTGGCACCATTGTAGGAAACGCTGAAGGAGCGTCGGGATAGGTAAGAGGAGAACCAGGAGAGAGCGGTGTCTCTGATGCCAAGGGAGAATAGTTTATTAAGGAGGAGGGGGGGTGGTCAACTGTGTCGAAGGCCGCGGAGAGGTCCAGAGGAGGAGGACAGAGTAGTCGCCTTTGGCTTTGGCGGTAAGTAGGTCGTTGGTGATTTTGAGGAGGGCGGTTTCGGTGGAGTGTAGGGGACGGAAGCCGGACTGTAGTGGATCAAGGAGGTTGTTGTCAGTTAGGTGGGCGCTTAGGCGGTTGTAGACTAAGCGCTCCAGGAGTTTGGAAGTGAGTGGCAGCAGGGAGATGGGTCTGAGGTTGTTTGGGTCAGAGGGGTCCAGGGAGGGCTTTTTGAGTATGGGGGTGATGTGCGCATGCTTTAGGGGGGAGGGGAATACGCCGGTAGAGAGGGAGAGATTGAAGATGTGGGTGAGGGAGCAGATGAGGGAAGAGGGGGGTGACTGGAGGAGTCGAGAGGGGATAGGGTCTAGGGGGCAGGTAGTGAGGCGGGCTTCAGAGAAGACCCTGGTGACTTCCTCAGTGGTAGCGGGGCTGAAGGAGTGCAGAGCTGGTGGGGTTACGGTAAGCGGGGTCTTGGGTGTGGAGGGGGGCAGTGCGGTTGCAAGGTCAGAGGAGGGAAGAGATGAGGGGGAGATAGGGGGGGGGAGGCTAGGTGGGGAGGTAGATTGCGAGTTGACTATGTCCTGACGGATAGCATCAAATTTTATTGTGGAAATGAGTGGCTATCTCGTGGGCGGTGAGTGAGGTACTGAGTGGAGGAGGGGGGGGAGAGAGCAGGGAGTTGAAGGTGGAGAAGAGTCGGCGAGGGCAGGAGGAGAGGGTGTTAATCAGGTTTACGAAGTAAGCCTGCTTGGTGGCGTGGAGGGAGGAGGTGTAAGTGAGGAAGGCAGATTTGTAGAGGGAGAATGAACGGGGGGACCTGGTTTTGCGCCATAGTCTCTCCAGCGCACGACTGCGACGTTTGAGGCATTTAGTGTGGTCGTTCTGCCATGGTTGGAGCGGTCTGGGTTTGATGTAGCGTGTGGTTAGGGGTGCCAGAGAGTCTAGGGTAGCTGATAGTGAGTCGTTGTACGTGTTAGTGGCTAGGTCAGGACAAGACAGTGGAAGGATGCTGTCGTGTAGGCGGTCGGCAGCTGAGTGGAGGGGGGCCGGGTTCAGGTTGCGAAGGTTGCGGCTGGTGATGGTTTGGCGCTCTGGGGGGGGGGAGTTAGGGGAAGGGGAGATGGAGAACGTGAGGAGGTGGTGGTCGGAGAGAGGGAAGGGGGTGTTAGAGAACTGGTTGAGGGTACAGAGGTGGGAGAAGACGAGGTCCAGGGTGTTCCCAATGATGTCATTCGATGTCATTCAGGTAAATGCTTGCTTATAGCAAAGTAATTCTTTGCTATAAGCAAATTGTGTAAAGAAAAAAAAAAAATACTGATCACTTCCCCAAAGTAGTACAATGTTACTATGGTAACATTGTACTACTTTGGTCATAGTGAAATATGAAAAATAAATCTTAAAAAAAAATACTAAAAAATAATAAAAAAAAAAAAATCTATATATATATATTTTTTCATACTTTTCATACTGTCACCAGTTAGTGTCCCTGATCACCGCCATGCCAGTTATATGATGATGCTGTACTGCACTGGTGACAATATGTAAAAAATAAATAGTGAAACTCATTTTTTTAATTTTTTCATTTTCCGAAAAATTATGACAAAAAAAAGCAACTTCAAAAAACTCGCCATGCCTCTTATGAAGTACGTCGGACTGTCTACTTTGCAAAAAGGGCTCATTTGGGGGATATCTGTACTGTTCTGACATTCTTGGACCTCAAGAAATTAGATTGGCTGTCAGTACTTCAGGATTGATCAATATTCAGATCTATGCCATAGTTTGTGAACTCTATAACTTTCCTACAAACTAAAAAATACTTCCTAATTTGGGTTATTTTCACCAAAGACATGTAGCAGAATACATCTCGGCCTAAATTTATGAAGAACAATTATTTATTTGCAAACTTTTATAACAGAAACAAAGAAAACCTTTTTTTTTTTCAAAATTTTTGGTCTTTTTTTCTAATTTAGCAAAAAATAAAAACCCTGGCGGTGATTAAATACCACCAAAAGAAAGCTCTAGTTGTGTGAAGAAAATGATAAAATTTTAGTTTTGGTACAGTGTTGTATGACCGCGCAATTGTCATTCAAAGTGTGAGAGCGCTGAAACCTGAAAACTGGCCTGGGCAGGAAGGTGTAAAATTGCCCGGTATTGAAATGGTTAAACAACATGGCTTTTGAAAAGGGGGGTGCAATCTGCCCTAAAGAACTTTATCATACAAAAAGTCTTCTACCACCTAAAAACAAACATTTAAAATATTGCAGCTTACAAAGGTATGGGGACTGCATTTGTGGTGTGTGGTTTTTTTTTGTTTTTTTTTTAGGCCCTGTTCACACAGGATGATTAGTTGCATGCCCCGTGCAGGGCTGTTACTGGCATAGGGTTTTGCGTGCATCCTCATGCTGGCACTCCCATAGATGTGTATTGGGATCCAGGGTGCGTCCAGGGCCCTGCACCTGCAGGGATATCACCTTGGGATACAGCAGTTGTGCCCATGCCCACATGCCCCAATATACATCTATGGGACTGCCGGCATAGTGGTGCATGCAACATCTGTGAATGCCTGTGCCATATTTTTACTTGGTGATCTGGCTACACTCACTCCTCCAACATATCTGTGGAAGAGCAATGTAACCACATTTGGACAGGAAAATTTTCAACCTGCAGAGAGTTTTTAGATGGAGTTGTAAATTTAGATGGACTTTATAACATTTTTTGAAAAGTTACAGAAACTGTTTTATGTGATAATTATCTGTTAAAGGGAATTGAAAAAAAACAGACTTACTGGCCAGATCACAAGGTGAGAATAAATGGAAAGCCTAAAAAAGAGAACTAATGCAGACACAATATCTAAGGATTAGTAAACTGTAATAGATTACATTTTGTTATTGGGTTTAGATACACTATAACATAATATGCATTTGCAGAATAAATTTAATTGTGGTGTCTCATCACAAGTAAACACAGATTACCAGTGTTTCTGTCTGACTTACATGACAATGTTCTCACTTTCTTTATCTAGGCATGCTTTCGTCAGCTCAGATGATTCAGACATTGTAGTGAATTATAAAGCAAAGAGGTCCTACAACAGGAAAGCCATTGAAATGACACGTAAGTTACTTTATGCCTCACTAACTTCTAACAATAGTACAGAATACGTGGTGTTTATTTGATATTAAAATATTCTGCATGTTAGCAGATTCTGACTTGTTTGAAAACAATTAAAGGTTAACTATCACAAACCTGGCGAAACCAAACCGAGTAAATGATGAAAAAATGAGATTATTTTAACTAAAAATCAAATGCCAAAATAATCAGCAGATGCAAATATATATAAGTAGCTGAATCTACATTTTTCCTGCAAAAATCAAGCTATATGCAATGCTTCATGCATTTCAAGCCCCACTATTGGTCTTTTTTTTTTTATTTATTTAAAGCAAAAATACATTTTCAGTGGGCATGGCTGCAACATTTGACAAAAAAAAAATCATACAAGTGGGGAAGCCACATAGTGCGATAGTAATGTTCACCTAGTGGTGTATGGTCTAATTGTAAATGATGAATATTGGATGGGCCCACTATTGATCTTTAAAGTAGATGTGGGAGGGGAGGGAAACTCAGGAGGTGGAAAAGATTCAACTATTTATCTCTGGATCTTCCTTCATCATGAGATGCACTTTTTGAGGTTTTGTGAATCTGATGGCGTCAGTCACGCAATTAGCATATCACAAAAGGTTTTTTCCAATTATATTTCTGGCATTTTCATTGTCTGAATATGGAGCCATCAGAACAAACACATTTGTTGATGGGCAATCAAATAAATGTCATTGCATGAAACAAGTATCTCACATGGTATACCTGAAGTAGCTGTTCATAAAGAGTTATTCACTTCTATACAGGCATGCAGCCTGAAGGCTAGGGCAGAACAACCTTTTTTTCTCTATATTGGAAGATATGGAGTCCTAGCATGGATGGGAAGGACTCTGGTGGCCATTTTGGAGTGGACCAGGAGTTAGTAGTAAGCAGGAAGATTCCACATGGAAAAGGGAGTGAAGCTGTTTAAAAAAAGGCTGGGAAACGTGTCTGGCAGGCATTTTATGGCAAAGCATAGTGGAGATGGAGAGCTATCTATTAGGGAAAGTGCAGAAGAAGACCCAGAGATGAAAGGGGGAAAAAGGCCAAAGACTGTGACAGTTACAGAAGACCTTGTTCAAATACTTGCATATATCAAACTGCAGATCTGAGTGTTTTTGTCTTTTCTCAGAAGTCTATTATGGTGTGGCTGAAGTTTGATGACATTTCAATAATCTAAAAGTGTTTCAGAAGGTTCCATCTTGGATGTCCCAGGTGTGGGGCAACTGAAGACATATTAATCACCAAAGTGCTATTCCAGAAAGTGTCAAATACATTTTTTTTTTTTCGGCAGTGTCCTAGATATTTTACCCCATGTTAAACAGACTGATTTGATGCAAGGTTTTATGGAAGTTTCTTTTGTGTTAGGAACTGTTACTATATATAACAGTAATATAAAGGTTTAAATCTAAATTGTTTTCTAATTGTTTATTTGCTACAGGAATTTATATATTTGCCTCTTAATGGCAACCATAATGCTGGGTTTATATGGCTCAAATTTTGGGCAATCCAGTCAGTAATAAAAGTTTGCTTCAATTGAAAAAAAGTTATGGGGAACGTCAGTAACCTTGCAAGCTATTTGCTTCATCTTAACAAGTTTCTGCTCTCACGGTATAAATCCTCCCTTTATGGTACATTTATTACATGCAGCCCGGGTGTGTATTCCAGCTCTTTGGAAACAACTGGTTACCCCCCTGATTTCTCTGTGGCTATCCAAAATCAAAGATACTTTACAAATGGAAAGCCCTACAGCTTCTCTACACCAGAGGGAGGAGAAGGTTTGTGACACATGGTATCTGTGGTCAATCTTCTTTTACTTCGATGCATATTAGGAATTGATGTGTTGCTCAGGCACATGAAGTCTTTAGGGGAATCATGACCTCCCTCCAGCTCTAAATCAGCACCTGGGAGACTACGCTTGGCCTTAATTTATTGCTTTTTGTATCCTCCTTCCCTCCTAGCACACCCCCCCCCCTTTCCCTGCCCCCTCCTTCCCCTCTTTTTGTTTGTTTGTTTGTTTGTTTTTTTGCATTTTTTTCCTGCATTTTCCCAATTTAAAAACCAAAAACATTTTCTTCCTGGACAAAGGACATTGGGCTTGACTCCTTGGCAGGCAGACAACTTGGGAATTGTGCTTGGTCTTTATGGGGACCTTACCTTTTCCTTTGCCTTGGTGTCTATACTTCAGATCTTTTATTTATTTATTTATTCATTTACTTTTTCGCTGGCTTGCATGTGTTCCCTTAGCTGTCTGAGCTGCCTTGTACTGATTGTGGCTGTAAAACAAACACTGTGAAACCATGTCTTTTGGAAAATAAAGAATTAAAAATAAAAAGAAAGTAAAAAGTTGGGGGACAATTGGTGGCAGAACAATGACTGCATCCTATCAGGTATTCAACAGTTGACACCTACTGGATATTGTCATTTTATTCTTTTTACTGTTTAAAATAAAATATTTAATGTTTTTTTTTTTTTTACCATTTCTTACAGTAAGTACATTAGGGATCAGTCAAGATCTGCAGCAGAAGCTGGAAGATGTGATGGTGGAGAGAAGCTTACTTACTCTGGGAAAGGTGTTGGGTGAGGGTAAGCATCATAAACTGGCAGGTTTCTGGGAGAGTTGCACAAATGGACAGCTCAATAGCTTTAGAAAGTTTAGGTCTTATTCTGTCTCAATAACTTTTATTAGTCTTTGTTGCTTGTGATGAATGCGGTGCCCGACCCCTGGCCTTCTCACCAACTCTTGACAAAGGACCGGCTAATCTCACACGGCACTGTCACTCACGTAACAGTGCCACTCTCAGCTGCACCCTGCACAAAGATTTTCCAGCTCATGGGACCACAATCTAGGTGCCGCAGCCTGAGAGCAATTGTCACTTTAACTCTTTAAGCTACCACCACCACCTTTTGACTAAGGCAGGAACTCATAATCCTAGCAATAATATGAAAAAATAAACATCTGTACACACACTGTCACCACAGACAGGTATATTTAGAGATTTGTCATACAGTAGCACTCTTCAAGAGACAAGTATTTTTTAGTTTGCTTTAAAAGCCTTGGAGACAGCAATAACACTTTTCAAAATAGGTTTTAATGATGAAAATGTCAAAATGGTGCAAATAAAACATTTACAGAAATAAAGAGAACAATAAAGCAACAGAGAATAGGAATGAGTTAAAAAGGAAGAATACTTTAAAAGTTATTGGTTTTAGCAGAGTTTAGTTGTTCAAGCAAAAATGGTGCTGTTGCTCTCTCAAGTCCAGTTAGGTGTTCCTTGGTTGATGTTTAAAACAAGAGCTTGACAACAGGCCTTGCCATTCCCTTTTTTCTGTGATATCAATGGGGGGTTGACAGAGACCATCTGACCAATCATCCAGTTTAAGAGGTGAGTTCTGGGAGGTCACCACGTTTATCACCAAGTCCCAAATACAGTTTTATACTAATATTATTATTATTATACAGGATTTATATAGCGCCAACAATTTGTGCAGCGCTTTACAATATAAGGGAGACAGTACAATTACAATACATTTCAGTACAGAAGGAATGGGAGGGCACAGCCATCTTGGCAAGTCTCAGCCATTTTGTTTTTCACTTCCACTATGTACAGGTTGCATTCTGAAAACTGAAAGATTATTGTTCAGCATTATATTTTGTGTCCAGGGATACCAAACACAATGTATTTTGAATGGGTCTGTCACCCAGGAGATAGGAGACTGCTTTCTCCCTTTTTGTATGTGCTAGTTTAGTCATGTATGACCTTGATTTATTCGGTATGATATTGCCCATTGAAATATATACTTAATATTAATGTGCCTTGGTTCTGTTTGGATTTTATAAATTGTGTGTGGATTTTGTTAAGTTGTGAACAGAGGTTGAGAGGTTGCCCACACCTGGCTGCCTTCTGTGCAGACATTTTATGGCACGCTATGCATTCCTAGAACTTTAATTGCCCTACGCATCATGTGTGACAGAAGGACGGATATTGTCATTGTTAGGCCAGAGGGAAGTTTTAATCTGTAGAATTTTTTTTATGATCTGAGAAACAGGCATCTAGCAGTTTGCAGCTCTGACAAAGGCCTGTGTGCTGGTGTCTGCTGTCACTAATTTGAGATAAAAGGCTCTTTTGTAAGTGTGTTAAAATGTAAAGCTTCTAATTCCATAGTTTGCAGGTGGAGGAAGGGGGTAAGATCACTGGGCTCATGAAAAACAAAATGGCTGAGACTTGACAAGATGGCTGTGCCTACAGCTTCCATGAGCTTAATGCGCACAACCATTATATTGCTGACTATACATTGCACTTCTTTTCCACCTTGATATCATGTAATAATACTCATATAAAACAATTGTACTTATAAAAAAAAAAAAACCTGCAGTAAAAAGCATAGCTGTTATCTATTAATTTGCCAATGTTGACAGATAAAGGTCATCCAGTACTAATGCTGAGCAGACACAAAGTACAAATATCCTTAGTACATTTGATGGCTTGATGAATGACGTTTTTGTGCAGAACAAATGTATATGTATTTTTACTGGCTGATTTGCTGTGCAGATTTTTTTTTCATAAACAGACTTCTATGTGTTATTGCTCAGCCATTGACTCTCACTTTTTCATTGCTGGAAACAATGTTCAGTTCTACATGCCTGGTAAAATTAGTATAATGGAAACCAGTATAAATGTGGATGGTTCATGCTACAGCTTTTACCAGCAATTGCCAGCAATTATTTAGTGTTAAAAATGATTTCAAAGCATTTCAACTTATTCCAAACTAGTTGGTGAACTGGCTTAAACTGTCTTTCCAAAGACTACAGGTGAATTGTACTTATGTACAGTTGCAAGAAAAAGTATGTGAACCCCTTGGGATTACGTGGAGTCACAACAATAGAAGAACACAGTCTGATGAACATAATACTACACAAACATTAGATGTTGCCATGGTTTAATTGCACATAGCATGTAAACAGCCACAGTGCAGGGAGGAAAAAGTATGTGAGTCCCTAGCTTAATGACTTCTCCCAGAGCTAATTGGAGCCAGGAGTGAGCCAACCTTGACTCCAATCAGTGTGATGATATTGGATGTGTTGCTGACGGCTGTCTTACAGATCAGATGTTAGCTATTCACCATTACAATAAATAAAAAGACATAAATTAATTGAGTGATTTGTGATTGTCTGCTACTTTGCACCCATGTAAAGACTTTTTATATAAAATAAATTTCTTATATAATTTTTAGTTAATATTTGCTTTTTGCCAGAGTGCCAATGTTCTGCAATGCAGAATCTGAACTTATCACCATGAGAATATCTACTGTATTTAACTTTCTTCACTCACTGCAGTTGACTAGATTTCCATGTTTTACTTTGGGGAAATGTGGGCTATATACCGTATAATATATTAATCTGAAAATGATCATAGAATATTTCCAGCATATTCTAAAATGTTTGTTTTTGCCTAATAAAATGTTTATCACGCATAGTCCTGCATAATTGTTAATGGACATTTAAACAATATTGATAATTATTTTCCAACATAGAAATTATACATTTTGGAACTGTAATGTTTAGCTGTGTTGGTACTCCTGCATTTAAAAGTAATTTAATAGAAGGATAAGTTATGATTGGATCTTCAGTCTATTGCTATTGGTTTGATCCTAGATAAGTCAGCAGCCTGGAGAGGTATCCCCCTATCATACTTATTTCCACCATGAACAACATGTGCATGCACGTTTGTAAAAGGATATTTCAGCAGTTGAGTTAGGTTTGCACAGTGTAATGATATGGATGTTTATGAAGATCTGTTATGAGTTTTAAATCCTACAGAAGTGGAATGGGTCATTCTCTGCCCCCTGGCCACATACAGTATTTGTTACAGGACATTGAAGCACATAGCTAGCTTTCATATGAGTAAGGTGCACTGAACCTTATATGTAGCCTGGGACTCAAATACTAATTGACCTATTTATCTATGTATCCTTTTTTATTGTACTATATTTCTTTTGCATTCAGGTGAATTTGGATCAGTGATGGAGGGTGAGCTGCAATATCCTGATGATGCAACGCAAAAAGTAGCTGTGAAAACCATGAAGTGTAAGAAAATATTTTTAGTAAACACATTTTGCACCACAGTAGTAAAGATATTTTGGTTCACTAAAAAGAGTTTAGTCAACCAGCAAACAAAAAATTGACATTCAAAGAGCTGTTTGCCAACTGTGTTTTCTTCATAGATAATTAAGCTTTGTTGCTTTTTGCTGTATTTTGTATTTATCCAGGGCCCTTTCAAGCTAACTTCTCAATTTACAGCACCTGCATATAAAATAAAAGTATCTTCTAACTGATAAACAAAATTACAATTATACCTCCAGATCTGCAATAAGTATTAAAGAGAAACTGAAAAAAGAAAAAAACTACTTTATAATAGATAAGATAATTCTCTGCTGTCAGGAATCCCTGGATACATTTCTGTATATCCCAAGAGTAACATAAATGCTTCCACTAACAGGAGAATAAATGATGAAATAGTGTTAAGGGAATGCAAGTCTGTGGTTGGGATGGAACTTACCCCCTTCCTATATTTATACCCTCCCCCCTCTTCTTCTCCCTTCCTACTCTTTCTACATCTATCTCTCCTCACTTCTATTTCCCTCTGTCTTAATAGCTGAACATGAGGTTATTACGTCATCATTGTACTATTAAATGGCATACACTATATTGCCAAGAGTATTGGATTCATTGGATTGGATTCAGGTGTTCCAATCACTTCCATGGCCACAGTTGTATAAAATCAAACACCTAGATATGCAGACTGCTTCTAAAACATTTGTGAAAGAATGGGTCGTTCTCAGGAGCTCAGTGAATTCAAGCGTGGTACCATGATAGGTTACGACCTTTGCAATAAGTCCATCTGCGAAATTTCCTTGCTACTAGATATTATACGGTCAACTGTTAGTGTAATTATAACAAAGTGGAAGCAACTGGGAACAACAGCAGCTCAGCCACAAAGTGGTAGGCCACATAAAATGACAGAGCGGGGTTAGCGCATGCTGAAGTGCAGAGTGCGCAGAAGTCACCAACTGTCTGCAGAGTCAATAGCTAAAGACCTTCAAACTTTGTGTAGCCTTCAGATTAGCACAACAATAGTGCATAGACAGCTTCATGGAATGGGTTTCCATGGCTGAGCATCTGCATCCAAGCCTTATATCACCAAGTGCAATGCAAAGCATCGGATGCAGTCGTGTAAAGCAAGCCGCCATTGGACTCTAGAGCAATGGAGACATGTTCTTTGGAGTGACGCATCATGCTTCTCTGTCTGGCAATCCAATGGATATGTCTGGGTTTGCCAGGAGAAGGGTACTTGCCTGACTGCATTGTGCCAAGTGTAAAGTTTGGTGGAGGGGGGGGTTATGGTGTGGGGTTGTTTTGCAGTGGTTGGATTTGGCCTCTTAGTTCCAGTGAAGGGAACTCTTAAAGCATCAGCATACCAAGACATTTTGGACAATTTAATGCTCCCAACTTTGTGGGAACAATTTTGGGGATGGCCCCTTCCTGTTCCAACATGACTGAGCACCAGTGCACAAAGCAAGGTCCATA